GGGGGGGGGGGGGGGGGGGGGGGGGGGTGGTCATTATCAAAAATTGCCACTTCCATATAGTATTCACATTTACCCCCCTCCCCCCCCCCTCATCCCCTACATCTGGGAAGTAGTTCTTATTTAGTTCAAGATACTCCCTAGTTTATGCATTGATTATTCCAAGAAATCGGTAGAATAGGTGAACAAAGTTTGTACACAACCACTATTGAAAACAATATATAATAAACAACGTAGCATAGATCGTATATACAAATCGAAAAGCATGAAACAGAAGAATCATCTATGATTCAAACAGAGGCGTAACTAGAGCGTTAATTAAAGGGGGGGGAGGGTATATTCATATATTCGTGTTTTCTTCCCGACGAATTTCTTTTGAATTTCTTTGGGCAGATCACAGCCGAGGTGAACTGAAATCATTTCCCGTTACAAATCCTTCGCATGTTATTACAATATACACGCGGGACTAAAAATCGTCCAACAGACTGTGTACGTGAATGTGTTAAACATGTCGAAGGATTACCCAAATGTGTTAAAGAAAGATTCCCAGGTGCAAAAATTGAATTGTCTGCAATGACACCAGGAAGGGATATTGCTCTACACACAAATATTATCGATGGTACCAAACGGTTACAGGAGCTATGTACTAAACATGGCCTAGACTTTATAGATAATAAGAATTTAAATGAGACATTCTGAAACGGAAGTCATTTGCACCCAAACCCTAAGGGTTCTGCTTATTTAGCGACAAATTTCATCAGGTTTATAAAGAGTGATAACATTCGATCATCCATTCTGAGCCGAAGATCTGAGAATTTTCGGATCCCAGCCCCGCATCAAGTGCATCTACTGGAAGATCTTCTACGAGTTATAACAATGTAAGGACGGAAGACAAGAGGAAGGACGTATATTAACTAAAAGCACGTGTGACCTTAAAGGGGAACTCCATTCCCAAACAAGTTGAGTTTAAATAAAAGATTATACCTTTAATAGATTGTTCCTGAAATATCTCAGTCCAAATCGTTTTAGCAAAGGAGAAATCGCTCGTCAAGGTTCCCGAATTTTGCAAATATCGACGCCATGTCGTTCGTTTGGGTAATCTTGACAAGCAAAACATCATAATTTGTGGTTTATATTGACGAATTGCATTTTCGAATTCGTGTTCTTGAATTATGTCATTCCCAGCATAACTATTTGTTATTGTTAGATGTTTATGTGAACATTGTCAGATAATGGATAGGGAGGAAGAATGCGTCTGTTGTCACGAAATTGAACAGGTCGCTAATAAAAATCAAGAAGTTATGGAAGACACAGAGCCAACCCTGCCATATAATTGCATAAACGATAATCCAGGTTTCCATACAGTCTGTTCAGATAGATGGGTTTTACAGACTGCTTGGTTGGACTATAAACAGCAGTATGATACCAGTACAGAGGTCTACTAACCAAAAACTCAGTCGTAACTTAATACTTATTCCAATAAGGAAAAACAATATATGTGAATCATCAATTGCCTATTCAGTTCCATCTATACTCTTAACCAACGCATGTCATGTAACGAACAAAATTACTGAACTCTCTGGAATTGCCGCAGTCAATAACCCCTCCTTGATCATAATTACAGAGTCTTGGCTGAACTCAAACATCCCGGTGCTGCTGTGGAAATAAGCGATAAATTCAATGCACATCGTCGTGATCGTCCCACGCCTGGTGGCGGTGTCTTAGCCTACGTGAATAACAAAATACCAACTACCCGCCTAAGAAATCTTGAAGAGGATGGGAAAGAAGTCCTATGGCTCTTACTTAAACCGCCCAGAACCCCCAGGCCCTATAGTGCGATAATAGTTATTGGTGTGTACTACCCACCTGGACAGACAATTGAAGATGAAAGAGCAATGTGGACAAGTATGTTACTAAAGGACTTGACAACATTTTGCAGGACCACCCTTCAGCTGGCGTAGTTATCGCCGGAGATTTCAATAAAATGAGACTGAACCCACTATGTAGACGTTTCAACCTTAAAAAAAACGTACGGGCTCCTACAAGAGATAGAAATATTCTAGACCAAATCCTTACCAACATGCCAGAGCTATACAATGATGTTCAACATCTGCCACCGATCGGCAGTGCTTACTGCTCACCCCAAAGTTGAAACAAAAGGTTAAACCGGTCTCCCGAAAAGTGCGCCTGATGAAATGTAGTAACCTAATCGAACTGGGCATACATATGAATAGAGAGAACTGGGAAACAGTCTACGATGCCAGGGAGGTTGACGACAAAGTAAGTGCGTTCACGTGTACTATCGTGCGCATGCTTGATAAATCGCTGCCTAAACGCACTGTACGTGCCCACCCCTCCGACAAGCCGTGGATGACACCGCGTATAAAGCATGAAATAAAAGCTAGGCAAAAGCCGTTTAAATCTGGAGATATAACAAGGTACAAACTATTATGTGACAAAGTTACCTCACTTGTATCAAATGCGAAAAAGAACTACTATCAACTAAAAGCAGAGGGTACACGCGAAACGAATCCGGCCAAGTGGTACAAAACCATATTTGAACTTACTGCCGCTAATGACTGTAACTCTTAACCACCAGCTGATTCAGCAGACTTAGCGGAACGCCTACAACAAAGCTTCACCAAACCTTGGCAGAATGCCAACCCCACTAAAATTCCGGACGTTGGGGAAATTGAAAACCTACTTAAGAATGATACCAGTCCCCCGTTGCCTTCCATCGGACAAATTAAGGCTACCCTTAAACATCCAAATCCCAGGAAGGCCACTGGCTCAGATGAGATCCCTCCATGGTTACTGAAACG